ATTGTAGGGAAACAGATATTTCAAAGATTGAGGATAATAATCATGTGCTTTGGACAACTAAATATTCCCATCTTCTCAAGCTCTGCTGCTGCTGCTCTACACGTTGCGGTGGGATGGATGGCTATCTTCTTTCTGATTGTTGAACTTTCCCATTAGATTTGTTTGACAGGTGATGTGAATGGATGGACAGATAATAATATGTGCAGGGGGATGTCACTTTATGTTGAAAGAAGGCATGGCTAATCTGTCTCGTCATTCCCCAAACTAAAAAGATACATCCATAGATTCTCTTTTCAAATGCTTATAACAGCACATCTGTAATTTTGTTGGAAGGACAATCAGTAATGACATTTCTCGTTTAATTTGTTGCAGTTGATCTTGTGGAAGTTTGCCACCCAAAGAACTGCAATATAGGGTTACTTGCTTATTCTCCACTGGATGGTGGATCCCTGAGTGGGAAGTACTTAGATATCAATTCTGAAGCTGCAAAGAAAGGGAGATTGAACCTATTCCCTGGTTACATGGAGAGATATAACAAATCTCATGCCAAGGTATGTTGAGGAACTTGAAATTGTTCAATCGTACAAGTAGAAGCTAGAGGCCCTCAATTTTTAGTACTCGCTGGTTAGGTTCTCCTGCTGAAAACTTGAAGAGGAGATGGATCTGAAATAGGGAAGAGCAGGGGCTTAATTAGGATGATTTTCCTGAAATTGTTCTTTCTCCGTTGTTTAATTTTTTGCATTGGACTCTATTTTTCTCTTTATCCGGCTACACATTAGGAAATCATGGTCTATCAAGTGGGGCACATCTTGTGCTCTGCTTTTGACGGACCAAAGTGGCATCTCAGTAACCATCCTCGTATCTCATTCTCAGGAAGCAACCATAAAATATGTTGAGGTTGCTCAGAAATACGGGTTAACCCTCGTTCAACTTGCTCTTGCATTTGGAAGAGACCGGCCATTCATGATGAGTTCGATCATCGGAGCAACCTCCGTCGAGCAACTAAAAGAAGACATTGATGCTTTTCTGACAGTTGAGAGGCCTTTGCCATCTGAAATAATGGCAGACATTGAAGCCATTTTCAAGAGATACAAAGATCCGACCATCCTTTAAGGTCAAGGCTCGAGAAACTTTGTGGGCAAAATGCAATTCTTTGCTAGTCTCCTTAGTTATGAAAATTTTATATGCACCAATTCGACTGTTGGTTCATCCACCACATAGGCCATTTACCAGTCTGCAAAAGTCTGGGATTTTGGTATTGTATATTCAACGCATATTCCTGTATGATAACTTGCCGAGAAAACTCGCTTTTTTCTTGGTCGAGCAAATGAAAATACACCATTTTTTTTCCATTTACCTATTCTCCAACTTGACAGGATGAGATTCTTCACTATTTCATGTGACCGATTACTCGGTGTCTAGAGTTGGCTGGTCTCGAAGATGAATGCTCCTTGGGCTCGACAAAAGATGGATGGAGTGCGAGCTTTGCATCATGACTTTATATTCACATACATATTCTGCCACATGCATCAAGGTCAGGAACACCGTTGATAGGATCGGAATACTGATTAGGATCATGCTGAGGTCTTCCAGGATCGGTTTGTACTGTAAAAGAACGTCAGATTTGCCAGATATGTTGTAAGGTTACATAGTACATTGCAGCTCTCAGTAAGTAAAACAATCATTCCAAGACAGAATACTGCGAAGGAAGGAGTCTGTACAGAAAATTTGCAATTATCACGCCATCCTCATGCGCCACCAACTTAGAAATTCACGTGTTGGTGATAAGTATGCAATACGTAGGTTTGGTAAGTCAATCCAGAGGAGGGTCTGTAGGATCGGGGCAAGTTACGTTTTGCCCACACGAATTCCGAGAGTTGTGAGTTTCCTCCGTGAGGTCTCGACTTTCGTCATGTCCTCCCTGATCTCTTGAAAATTGTTGTAACCTCCCCCCCTGACTCCGCCCGATTTTAGCCGGAGCACCGGTCACATGGATGTCAGAGTAGGGAAGGGGACCGCGTACAATGGTGGCGAGGTCTGCTATCACCATACCGCCCACGAAGTCATCAGCGGTGTCACGAACATCAAAGTCACGGCTGAGAGAACTCTCGTGCCTATCTTTATCGGTTTGCTTGTGTGTGCGCGCGCGCGCGCGAGAGAGAGAGAATCGCGATGGCAAGAGCAAAGCTGCCCTTGTCGGGGGTCGAATGACCGTGGATAGGGTGCATCGGCCCCTCGCCGGAGTCGTGGTTACCCTGAGATTGACTTAGGCAAAGGGCGTTGCAATGCATGTGGACTCGGTCATGCCCGGGTCCTATCTATCTCCGGTCGATTTCAGGTGGGGATCGACCCAGGCAACTTCCAATCAAGAACGTTGCATTTGGTTTGTAATTTGCTTTGATGTGAACATAACGCAAGTTGCCTCTTCCTCCTTTAAAATAGGCAAAACAATAATAATTGAGGCGATGACGTACATGTGGGTTCGAATGACTCGCAAGCTTTCAGTACAATGAACTTTCTTTTTTTATTTTTCCTTCTATTTTCGTAATTCATGAAAACCTAATGTGAACTAGCAATAAACTTGTATCTTCGGCAAGATATAAGTGATGACACACATAATTAGTTTAATTAAATTGATGTGGGCGTGGAAGTTTGTTTCGTTCAATAATATTTAGAGGGAAAAGGGAATCAATTTGAAAGCTCAAATCTATGTATAACGTAATACAGATCATGATTTCATAATATGTTTGGTTAATTGTATTACACAATTCGATCCCGAGTAATTATATAGTAATTCGAGCACGTGTTCATTATTAAATTTCTTTTAATCGAGATTGCACGTTTTTTTTGTCATGAACTTGCTAACATGGACGACTTAATAAACACCGGAGCTTCGACAGTAATAAACCACATCCTACGCTCAACGAAAACGACGCTACCTCCCGCTAACCGCCACCGGCCACCAGTTTTACCACTTGCTTCCGACACGTTAATGGCCACCGTAGGCCATCATCGGCGGCCATCGTTCCGAAAGTCAGTCCTCCCACATTTATAAGCACAGTCAGAACACGGCCCAAGCAAGCAACCAGAAAGAGACTAGCGAACAAACCTGTGCAAAGTCATGAAAGGGGAGGACGCCGGAATGAGGTTGCCCGCCGGCGGTGGTGGCTAGTTGAGAGGGTCAGGTGACAGAAAGGAGAGAGTGGAGAGCTTCGAGGAAGAAAGAATGTGTGTCTTCGCCTCCTTCGAGTCCTCATCGTTTTCTTTCGGGAAAATGACACATTAAACATATACAAAAAGTCCAGGAATCATATCGAATAAATTAAAAGTTCATGAATCACATTGCACGTTGAGTTAAATTTCAAGGACTACATTGAACAAATTAAAAGTTCATGAATCACATTATACATTGGCCAAAATTTAGAGACTATTCGTATCGTTATCTCTTTTCTTTCTAACCTCAAAGGAAATGAAACTGGCTTCTCCTACCGTCAAAACCCAATAAAAAGCCCACTTTTAACGTCACAAATGAAACCAACTGTTCTACCCTTATAACCCTAAAAAGAGCTTCCAGAAATTGTCAAAGCCTTGCCATGGTAGGGCAAAACCAACCTCGTAGTGGCTAGATGAGGCTCGACCTTATTAGATTTGGGCAAGGTCGGCCTCTGCCCTCGATCTTGCCCAGCCACGGTGATACTTGACCTTGCCAAGATCTAGCGAGGTCGAGTCTCACGAACCAGGTCTAGTCTCACCGGCTAGAAGAGGAAGAAGAAGGAAGGAAAAAAATAAAAAAGAAATGAACTTGTTTCAGAAATTATTTTTGAAAATAAAAAAGTAGTTATTTTTTTACTTCTTATTTTTGTTTTAAATTTATTCCCTAGCCACTTTTTAATTTTGAGGAATAGAAAAATTAATTGACGTATACAAACAGATTTCTATTTTTTTCTATTTCGAAGAACAAAAGAACAGGATAATAAAAGAATAAAAGTGTTACCAAACGCGAATTTGGTAACCAATCTTTTTATGTCGGTGAGTTATAAGCAAAGCACTGTGGTTTCAAGCTAGATAATATAAATCAGCTTAATAAATATGACTAATAAGTGTTAGGTACTTGTTAACTAGACTTTATGCTTATTTGTATTGTTTTATAAAGCAAAGAGAACTTCTCGATTTTAAGTTATCTCAATAGTTTTTGTCTTCTCCACATGTTCTTAATAATTTAGGTTGCGTTAATTTCGCGGAAAATAAATGATAAAAATAATTTCTTGTATTATTTGAATTAGTCAACGAAAAATATTTTCAAACATTTTTGTAGACCATAAAAATATTTTTCGTTCATTTATTTTTTTTAAACAATACAAGCTATCATTTTTCGCAAAATGTTTTCCAAACTTGCATCTTCCGCAAAAGCAAATGCACCCTTAATATAGCCATTTTATAAACATTGTGTTTATGATTGAATGCGTAAATTTATTTTATCTCCCACATTTTCAATACAAAAATTCTTATTTTTTCAAACCCACGACAATCTCTCTAAAAAGATTTCGAATTTTGAAATTTCTTTTCCTTTCCACGCTTGTGCATACCACTTCTTTCTATTGTCAATAATTTATTTCCTTATTGGACGACTTAAATATTTCGTAACAAAATTATTTCACTTAATTTTTCAAGCGGCGTTTGCGTGTGCACTTTATATTTTGTTGCCAATATCATGTATAATATATCCCTGTCTATACTAGAATCAATGCCAAACTTAATGATGATGTATGAAATTAAATGTTCACCGGTCTTCAACCAAACCAAACCAATCCCAACCAAACAATATTAAAATTAGAAGAAACAATCAATGCCACATTTGTCGTTGCACTGCCAAGGAAATTTCTTGAATTCAACTCTCTCTCTCTTTCTCTCTCTCTCTCTTTCTCTCTCTCTCTCTCTCTCTTCTCTCTTTGTGCGCGTACGTTACCAGTATTTTAGACAATTCCTTGAAGCCTTCCTCGCTAAGTAAAACTCTGTCCATCACTCAAATCATTTTCTGTCATTTTCACCCGTGCTTTGGTCCAAAGAGGGAACGCAAGAAAATCTTTTGTTTTTTTCCAATTCGGACGCGCTTTTATCCCCTTGGGAAGAGCTGATCGGGTCAGCGTATAGCTCAACGCCTTTTTGGGAGGGCCTGAGCTGAATTCACTGGATGATGAATTGCTGATTTTCTTGGGTTTTCTTGGGTTTTCTTGGGGGACCCATTTGAAGGGAAAGCAGAGAATTGGGTGTGCCTTTTCTTGTTCCCTTCGGGTTCAGAAAAGGAAAGGCCCGATTTTGGTCGATATTTCCTGTTGCTGGATCGAAATCTGAAGGTGGGTTTTTGTCGGTGTTGGTTTTCTGAAGGTGGGTGTGAGAAGAAATGGGTCAACAGCAATCCAAGGACGAATTGGTGTATCAGCAGGTCAGCTATGGCAACAGCGAAGGAATCAAAGCCCTCTGCAGAGAAGGCGCTGGCCTCGAGGTGAATTTCTTGTTTTGGGCATCTTCTCTCTAAATTTAGGCTTTCATGTTAAATCACGATTGTTCTTGGGTGGTGTTTAGATGGTCTCTGTTTTCTTCTAGTGATGTTAGAAGAGCGGATTCTTCTGAAGTTGTTGTGATGGGTCGTTTTTGGGTGGTTTTTGTGGGTGCAGTGGATCGACAGAGAAGGGAAGACGCCTTTGATCGTCGCTTGTATGAATGCGGAGCTGTATACTGTCGCCAAGACTTTGATTGAATTGGGCGCCAACGTCAATGCATACCGCCCCGGTACCATTTCTTGTCACGGTTTTGCATTTTCTGGGGGTTGTATGCTGTTTTCGCGCAGTTCAAGATGCTAAATCGTTCTGGAAAGGATGTGTTTTAGGCTGAATTTCTTGTAGGAGCTAGCTTAAAATCATGCGCTAGTGATATCTCGGTTGCTTCCAGTAATAGCTCTCCTTTTGTCTCAGAATGGGCCTTAGTCTGTTTGATTTAACATGTCAAATCATCATTTGAACCATGACATTTAACATATTCACTCATCATGCTCTGCATGTGTCAAGTGTTGCGATGCGTCTGCTGTTATAATTTACCTGTCTATATATCCATGTCTTGACTCTTAACGTGGTAATTTAATGAAGGTCGCAATGGTGGCACTCCTTTGCATCATGCAGCTAAGAGAGGCCTCGAGAATACAGTGAAGTTACTTCTTTCTCATGGAGGTCTGCGTCGATAAATCATATGCTAGTTGTTTACATTATTCTTATTGAAGTTTTTATGCAGCTTTCTGCTGCATGGCTTATGTAATAAATATGCACGTTTTGATCCTTCAGCAAATGCACTGGTGATAAATGATGATTGTCAAACTCCACTTGATGTGGCCAGAGCTAAAGGATACACTAATGTTGTCCGTACAATTGAGGTTTGTCTTGTGTAAATAACAGAATTGCGTCCCATCAATGTGGTAAATCTCAATAGATTAGATTGACTTTTCTAACTTTTAATGCTTTTAGGGTCACATGGGTTTATTCTCTGGTTGGTTACGGGAGTTTTATGGTCCTGGGTTTCTGGAAGTACTTGCTCCTCAGTTGCTTTCAAGAAAAGTGTGGGTATTCTAGTTTTAGCTTTTGCTTTCGTTGGCAACCATTGTGTTATGCTTTATTTTTATGCTCTCATTTCTTGTAGCTGTGCCTTTTCTCTGTTGGCAAAACAGATGGATTCTTTGAAATTATTTTCCAGCTGTTTCTCTAATTGCCTGATTTATTTTTTTTAATTTACTTCTTTTTTGCAGGTGGGTAGTCATTTACCCGTGTGGTTCTCGAAATCCCACAAAGCCGTTTAAGTTGGAATTGGCAATATATACTAGTATGCAGGTACCATTCCTTCGTTACCAAAATGTTACCAAGTTGCAATTAAAAAGTTTTGGGATAAGTGCACTAGAAGTCCTAAAACTTGTCACGAAAGTGCAATTGAGTCCTAAAACTTTAAAAAAATGCGATCAAGTCCTAAAACTTGTCACGAAAGTGCAATCAAGTCCTAAAACTTTCAAAAAGTGCAAACAAGTCCTAAAACTTATCATGAAGATGCAATCAAGTCGTAAAACTTATCACAAAGGTGGAATCAAGTCCTAAAACTTTCAAAAAGTGCAATCAATGGAAGGACTTGATTGAACCAATTTGACAAGTTTTAGGACTTGTTTGCACTTTCGTGATAAGTTTTAGGACTTGTTTGCACTTTTTGAAAGTTTTAGGACTCAATTGCACTTTCCTAACAAGTTTTAGGACTTAATTGCACATTATGAAAGTTTTAGGACTCAATTGCACTTTCGTGACAAGTTTTAGGACTTTGAATGCACTTATCCCAAAAGTTTTCAACTTCACCTATGATAGTTTTTTGAACTATTTGTTTGTTTCTGGTTTCTGTATATTATTCTGGTTTTAAATGTATATGCTATTAGTTTTCTCCCCTGCTATGTTACTGCATGAGCTCTCTTAATTCTTCTGTTTAGAGTCCATAAATTGATACTGCTTCAGGCACAAATCTTATATCCGATTGAGTGATTATACCTGCAGATCTTTTATGTATGCAGCGTCCACTTGATGTTAAATAGGATGAGGTGGCTCTTCCTGGTGTATTTTCTTTGTTCTCAGATTTTCTTCTCCTTCCCTTCCAAAGCGAATATCAGGCATTTTTCCAACAGCATATTTCCTAATCCTTACTTTTCCTACAGTAACATATGTAATTAATGTCGTCAGACCCAGCATCTTTGACACCAGGAGTATGTATATAACCTCGTGGCCTACCATGCTTTGTAATATCCATGTATCTCATTGGATTATGGTTATGAGTCAGTAGTTTAGCTCCTGAATGGGCCCATACGAGCAATTGTTATAATTATTGCAAGATTAGGATTAGAGAAGGCCTTCTATAGCATTGATTTTCCCCATGACATTCTCACAATAGGTCAGGGGAAGAAGCACTTGACAGGGTAGCTCTGGAATGAGAGTCTTACATATGCTTGCATTCTCTGAATCATTCACTTCAAACTGCAATTTGTTTGGCTTGTCTGATGGAGTTGTTTGGAACCTTATGAGCCTCTTTTGCTTTCTGACACCCCTTCCCCTCACTGTCGTTTCTTTTTGGGTTTCGGACTATGTTATTTAAATCTGATTTTAATTCTCTCTAAGTGTCAGTTGTCTTTTTTCCCCTCATAATCATGTGGCTTAAGTCATGTCTGCTTGTGTCTAAACTGATGGCCATCAAGTGTATCCACTGATTCAGCACTATTTGTAATGTGCAGGATGCTCAACCTCGGGCAATTGTTGCATTGTGGAAGGCCAACTTAGAGGAACCTAAATTCCACTATTCTGACCCTTCAGTGACAATTGTCGACGATACTTCAAGTAAAAACTTGCTCCTGGGTCTTATTTTCAGATTTATTTTTGACAGTATAAATCTGTAGAGTGTGAGTTTAATTGGGCTTTATGTAAATCAAAGTCCCAAGGGGCAGGAGGCGGAGACGCAGGAGGTATAGGCCACGAACAGATAGGCGTAAGTATAGTAATTGCTCCTTTTTTTACAATTAAATGAAAGCTTCACATTTTGTAGAATTGAGGAGTTAGTTCCCATTAGAATTTGCTAGAATATCGTGTAATTATGATGACCCGGTCACACCTGGCCTCTAGTTCCCCGTTAGATAGGGAAATGTCTGAGGATCATCTTGGCTTAATGAGTAGTGGAACATTAGAAATTCTAATACTCCGCTTGCACTCAATTTGTTAGGTATATACTTGGGCTGAATATTGCTTTTGTTTTCAGAGACCCGTTTCAAATTCGCACCTGCCAATGAAAGAGACAGACAGCAATTTCAGCGGTTTTGTGATGCATGCAAAGGGATTGCACAGGTATTTCTCAGATTAGTTTCATTTCAGGATTAACTCATGAGTAATACAGAAAAGTGAATGTGATGCAGTAGTTCATACCAATCCTCTCTTGACTAGAAATATTAAATGCTTATGGATGTTACGCTTTTAGGTGGTGGTATTACCCAGTCACGATGCTTCTTATGCTAGTCTGTGCATGAGTCTTTTTAGTGTTACTTATGTCGTCAAGTTTCAACGCAGCTTGCTCACAAAATCGTGGGGTAATTATGAATAGCATTTGTGCATTTGATATTTTTCAGTGGAAAAAGGGTTCAGTCATTCAACTTTCAGGAATTTTTGTTTTGAGGTATCAATAGTTGCACAACATGGAATGCCAGAATTTTCTCACGAGAGAAGAACTAGAATACGTGAATTTAGGGTCCGTTTGTTTGAAGAAAAATTGTTTCCAGGAAATTGTTTTCCGACTTTCCGGTGTTTGGTTGACGGAAAGCTAATCGATCTACATAAAACGCTTTCCATGGTCTGAAAAGAACAAAGCTAAATTAGGGGAAACAATTTTCTCTTATTGCAAGAAGGAAATCACTTCTCCTAAACCACCAAACAAATGAAAAGTGATTATCTTTCTTGAAAATGATTTCCATGGAAAATATTACCTTTGTCATGAAGTTTTCAAAATTAGAATATATGAAGGCTATATGTTTTGCGAAGACTTTCTTTTCTAAGATGCATTTTATGTTGATTCTACGAATATTTCTGGCCATGCAGCCAGCATTTTTGCAACCTGCGCAGCCGCCAGTACAGGCAACTGCACCACAGGCAACTGCACCACCTACCGCAGAAGATCTGGAATTAGCAATGGCAATCAACGCCTCCATCCAGTCAGCTATGCAGGAGGTGCGACCATCTTTTCCTGCTCAGCAAGGTGTCGGGACAAGCGCATCCACCAGTTGGGGTGATTCTATGGAAGTTATGAATCACAGTGATTTGAGTGAGGCGGCTGCCCCGGCTCCATCCAAGGATAGCTGCGGTCCAAGCAATGGAATAGCACCTATAGTCATGCCACCTCAAAATGTTGAAGGTGTCGATGAGAACTCCGTCTCTGCTCCATCAGCCCCTCCGGCAAACATTGAGGTTGTAGAGGACGGCCCAATTCAATATCCATCCATTGACCTCACTCCGATTGATATGTCCGCTCCAGTAATCAATGACTTACCACCTGTTGGCTCTAGCGGGAGCAAAGAAGACGGAAGTGAAGAGACATGCTGTGTTGTTTGTTTGGATGCTCCCGTCGAGGGAGCTTGCGTGCCATGCGGGCACATGGCTGGCTGTATGTCTTGCTTGGAAAAGGTCAAAGCCAAGAAATCCGGGTGCCCGGTTTGTCGTACCAAGATTGATCAAGTCATAAAGCTGTATACTGTTTGACTATGAAGCTTGCCTATATCAAACAGGTACAGTGATCGTTATTATGTTGAGGTTCAATGTTAGTACATGTATGCGAGTTTTCTTGAAGGTTCATGGGTCGAAATTGCTTAGAGCTTTTGGTTACTTTTACGCATGCTTGGGGAGTGAAAAGAGCATTACGTGTTTGTGCAGATTGAAAGAAAGGTTGTTCGAGAAACATGAAGGAGCATGACTGCAGTACAGACAGGTGATAACGAGTTCTCTGCATCTATGTATTTGTCCGATCCGTAAATCAGCTTACTTTTGTAAATCTATGTTTCCGCAGCATCTTTATCTCCAGTATATGGCATAAATTGAGAGCACAATTTGATTGCATTATGTTGTGTGGAACTGTAAAGCAAAGAATGGTACCGTGTCTTTTGTATATAGCATCGGCATCTCTTAAGGTGGGTATAGTTGGTGCTCAACTCTCAATCTCTCTCTCGCTCTCAGAGGCGTGAATGCCGCATGATGTAATTTAAAGTGACAAAAAGATTGAAATGAATGCTTTTAGTGGGTGATTAGAGAACAGTAGTAACAATATCGAAAGAAAAATGACTTTATTCATAGGAAAATAGTGGTGTCATAAATGACTTTTGGTCGAATTGGGTGCACTTTTTCCCCCCTTGCACTTACCCAACTTCCACTACGATATGCCGTTGCATTTCATAAATGTGAATGAATGGCCAAATCGGCCTTCCTCACTTTTCGCAACTGGGCCAAACGGCTGATCACATGGTCCAAACCGAAACGGACCACGGGTTCGATCTGTGAATCTGGTTGGTTCGACTGGGTCCGGCCTGGCCGGGCCCCGTCCCGTTTTGGAAAAACCAAACATTGCTTGATGAGTGCTTTTGTTAGATAGGGATGTACTAAAAATCAAAGTGGCTACACCCTAGTTTTGTTAATCTTAAATTGGCCGGAAAAAAAGGGTGTTTCTGTTAAAGGGCCATAGAAAAATAATTGAGGCATCTTATTGGTGGTCTAATTGGGCAGACAAAAGTGGGGCATTGGGTGAGTCATATGAATGATAATACAGGTATTTGTTCTCGTTGCTCATTGGATCTTTTTCAACAAAAGTCATTAGTTCATTGGATCTGATGGCGCAAAAGGCAAAAGGATAGGCAATGTTAAATCTTTTCCTACTATGTGTAGGGTCCATTAGGAACTGTTCGTGACGATGCTCGACGGAGAGAGCGCTCCAACGAGAGGAGTCGGGAGGTTCTTTCAGCATCCGAATAATCCGGACTTGATACATCTATATATGGCGCTCTTCTCGTCCATGAACGCTAAGAAAATTATCGAATCTTGAACGAGGAAGACGTGCACGCAAGAAACAAAACACACCCAGTGCGGGATTAGCCTTTTTCAACTCTCTCAAAATTGACTCTCTAAGCGACTTTGCAAGGTCCTGTCATTTCGAGGGCTTTACTGTTTTCGGAGACTCTACAATTCATCGTGAAATAGAAAAATCCTAGGATTCTTTCTAGTTTGTGATTTACTTAACACAACTGTGCACTCAATGTCTCATTGGGCAAAAGATTGGGACAGTCATTCATTTAAGATTCTGTCTCCCCTTTATTAATGGAAAGAGGGAAAATAACAGTGAAAAAAAAAAGGAATATGTGTCGGCAAAATATTTGTCTATTGCCACGTGTCCCGGATCTTGGTTTTTGAACTCTCCTGTGATTTTTCAAAGGTTATCGCTTTAATTATGTACTGAGAAAGAGAAAATCAATAGCTTCTCGTTTAAAAACTATATATTCCCTTTTTTTTTATTGATGTGAAACAATGCAGGAGCTAACAGATTTTATAATTCGAGTTGAATATGAGAGATGGAAAAAATTACTAGAGAAACTAATGAGAAATGATGAGGATACTAGAAATTTACATGATTTGGTCGAAGTGTCGGTATCTACTCCACTTGAAGAGCCGGCTGCAAAGAAATCCACTATGAAGTTGAATAATACAGAGTTTACAATCGGTTGATGGTTTAAGTATTTCCCAGCTCTCAGATATACTCAAAACAAACCCACAAGTGTTATCTCGGAATCTCTCAAACAAGACTCGCCCGAAAACACTCACGAAAAGAAATCCTAATGCTATTGTTGTTTGCTTTTCTTTGTATCCACCGAGTATAATCCGATCTCCTATATATACATATGATATTTGTAATCAAAATAGGAAATACCCTAACCCATTCAAATTAGGAAACCCATCAAATAGGATACTTAACTGGATAGGGTTCTCATTACACATTCGAAATCGAGACATATTCTCAACATTTATTTTCCGATAATACACAGGGGGAATGTGAACATTTATGCCACGTCTGTTGGCAAATCTAGGGCTACTTGTATATTCAACTGGTTAATTACATATTAGTTTTAATTCACTGGCAAACGAAAAACAAAAAAAGAAACCTCTTAATTTAGTTTGTCCCCATGTGCCGTGTGGGGCTTTGTTTAGTAAAAGACAAAAGTGAACAACATCATAAGAACAAAAGGTACACATACTTCCGCAAATAAATCAATCCTTTCCTGGAAAAAGAAAAAAAAAGGACAGATAAAGGAAAGAACAGTCCTCAATTAAGCAGATCCTTCCTGAGCATAGCATGCATTGCACAATACAGCTGTCAGCTTATCATGATAGTTGTATCCTTGAAACGCAAAAAACAATGAGGTGCTCGTGAAGTATCACTTTATCAAGTTGCGTACTCTTGAACGCGGTAATAAGATGGCGTTTTGTATTCCCTCCGAGTATTTCGACCTAAAAGGCGGATAGATGTAACCATCACTTAAGTTGTGCGTGCATTATGTGTCGTTCCATACAATTCTAACCTAATTAAATGAGATCACATAATTGTAAAGAAAAAAAAAATCATGGAACTTTCATTACTATTTGTACATGAGAAATGGCGCAAGTTATTTCTCTAATGTTATGACCTCCCTTCTAGACACATGAATTTCTAGTTTATTTTTCTCTAAATTTCTTAGTTATATGTATCCTTTTCCGAGTTATGTACGTTGATAAATTAGACATGAAAACGATGTATTTATATTTTGATTCAAAATAAACACAAATTACATAGAATGTCAATACCAAATATAAATCTATCTTTCTCAGCATGCTGTGTTGAGTCAAATAAGTTTGATTTTCATTTGGACAGATCAAATCTGTATTCTCACAGTCTCATGGATGGAAGATTCGAAAGTTTGATCCATATGTACAAAGTCTAAAGGAAAATAAAATAGGACATGCTACCAAGTTAGGTCTTGCATATGCTTCTACAATCAAAAAAAGTTACACAAAGTCATGACAATCCATGCACACAACACAAGCAGTAACTCTTATTTTACAATGTTTTTTCTAACGTTCTATTATTTTCCTGTTTCTTTTTCTGTACGAAAACCACTGGCAAATCCCCCTGACAGCTTCCTATGAATGGTCATGCAACACGCTTTTTGGGGGTCCTTCCCAGTACGTCCATCACATGGAATTACAGTGCTTGTTGCCCTCCTTTTTAGGGCTTTCAAAAGGACTTTTGGCATTTCATAAATACAATTATTTATTGCATGCAATTGCTCAAACAGTGCCAAATTCGAAAAGAAATGCAGAAGAATCTTGGATTTGTAGGAGTTAATTTAATTGCATTAGGCTGGAGTACATGAGTGGTTTGGGGATTGGCTTACATTTACTGACAAGTCTGAGCTTTGCAAGTACACAACTGGCTTTGGAGTTGAAACTGGTGTGGCCATAAAACAAGGCAGCAATCGTGCATCTCTTCCTCGGGCCAAACAACCTTTCACTTCGTATTTTCAAGTGCCTGTTCTTTTTTTTTCCTAGTTTCAAGTTTAGGTTTTGGTTTTTCTCTTCCTAGGGAAAGCAATGTTTGTTGTGTCCGCACAAAAAACGAATCTCTTATTATAAAAGGCATTCACATGGGAAAAAAAAATACATGCAGGAATATCTGATTACAGAAAAGTTGACAGCAAGTGTTATTTTTGGTACTTCTTTAGGTGAAAAAAATTGTTCTCTAGGTAAAAGCTACAAGAAATGTACCCAGCTATCCATTGATGACAGAAAAGCAGTTAAGCAATATATTATTCTTTATATATATATATATATATATAGATAAATGTATGTTTATGTATATAAACTAGTTCCAATGTCGTGAAGACTCTAAAGTATTTGAATTTTGAACAAAAATTTATGTAAAACCCTCCATTTGTTAAGGTTCTATTTGTTTGTTTCTAAAATTTCAAGCGATACATATTATCTCTTGAACTTTTATTTTATTATTCGAATTGACCCTCTTTTCACTAGCATGTGAGCATATGTATATGGCATGTTACCGTTTAAGAATAGAGGTGCTTCTTCTTTTTGTTGCTAAAAAAGGAAAATACACTCCCTGATTTAGGGTGGTATGCATTTACTCACAGCTTTTAGCCATGAGACACCCCTCATGGAATAATTTTCTTTAACTTTTCATAAGAAAAAGATAAGAAAATATGAGCAAAGAGTGATTCAAGATGATTTTAATGGCAGAATTTGGGGCATTAATTATGGTGTTATAGTGATAGGCTTATTAATTATGAACCTCCATCAAATACATTGAGTATCCAATTTGTTGAAGTGCACAAGTGAGTCCTATATCTGATAAGTGGTGAGGTGTGGAGTAGTTAATATATTCAAATTGGCTCATAACTCATTGACTTAAGTTTTTTAATGAATGTGGGTATAACTGGATATGTTAACGGGTTCGGACTTGGACTCTCTCTTGGTGATCTCCCCAGATGAAGGTATTGGGCTTCTGCTGCACACTCCTAACATATTTCATGATAAGTGTGACAATCTTTTGGTTATTAGGGCGAGCATGATAACCATTGTGTTTCTCTGTTTTTCTGTTCTTGGAAACAGGTTTAGAACAAAAATCCGTTTGGTAACGCAATTTCATTTTTCTCCTTCTAAAACAAATTTTGATTTCAGATAAGTTTGGAATAGAAATGAGAAATAAAAACTCTTCTCATCGCTCGCTCTAGCTACTAGCCAATCGCCACCCGCCTTCCGCCACCGTTCTTCGCTGGTGGCCGTCTGCCTCTCGCCGCTATCTACCGTCCTTTGCCGCTCGCCGGCCGTCATTCATCGCCGTCCTCTACCAACGGCCGCTCGATGCCTCCCGCTACCCACCCGCCGTCGACCACCTCCCAATGCTGGGGGTGTGCAACTGGACCAGATTTACCATGGAACCGGACTGGACCACCCGGAAAACAGGTCCTGGAACCGGTTCCGGTTTAAACCAGTCTGGGAATGGTTCCATTTTTTGGGAACCGGTTGGAACTGATACGGTTCCCGGTTCTAAGTGAAGACCCACCAAGACCGGTTTTGAAATCGTTTTTAGCTTACGTTAAAAAAGAACCGTAGATCA